AGTGCATATCATATACACATTTATCACCTGTGAAGACGTTGTACGTAGGGACACACGGTACAAAAAGGGGCTATTAAGAGGCTTTAAAAATGCGTTGCAAGACAAATTTGTATAATCGATTAGAGTGTGCCTTTACAGAGCTTCACGTGTCGTGACATTCATTCATGGCTTTGCCTCCTACTTACCTTTGTAACCCAATTCCAGCTACCTGTGCTCCCTTCCACCCACTATCTCCTTCTGCAGGTCTCTGGGTTCATCTCTGTGTAATGGGAGGTGGTGGGGGAGCCCTCTGATGCCCCCCCCCCCAGTCTAAACCAATCTTCTTTGCCGTCTGTGCTCGAAGGCTCTCACTATATTTCAATGCAAAGTGAACACCTACAGTGCCCTCTTTCTTCCCATTCAACATGTTTGATTTAGTTTGGACCTTCCTTAAACCTATGTTTTAAAAACAGTTATCGTGTTTTAGCCACGTTGTTGAATCTACATTAAATTCTTACTTTTATTAAATCATACTTCCTCTCCACAACCGTGTGAATTAGACTTTAAAATATGAGCAGATGCCTCTACATTGGTGTTCTCTAAGGCGAATGCTAATTTGTGTGATGCTGTATGTCATATTTATATAAAACACACACACACTGCGCATATAAACAATGACAGTAATTGCATTCGTACAGATGACAACCAATGGGTTAGTCTTACTTTGGAAAGCTAAGCAGTGTATATACACACACACACATCAGTGTCTCCCCACTACTGACTTGATCATAGGGAGGGTAACGCATCCCTATTGGCGACTGAGACAATGGTGAATAAGTCTACATTTGAAAAGTCGAGGAGGGGGGGGATAATCTCTCCTTTTGGCAATCCATTGACGTTTGTATTTGTAAACACATCACATATAGGCGCATCTCTTCCATTTCCTCATCAGACATATACACATAGGTAGGGGTGTATGACATTACGGATTGGCTGGCGACGGGCAGCCCACAGACAGCGAGATGGGAAGCGGTGGTAATGTGCACAACCTCACTAACACTTAGCCCAACAGCTGCCCACTCCCCATCCCTCTTACTCGGCTAAATGCCCTTCCCCCTCTCTCACTCCCACACGTGAAAAGGCAATCAGAGCCCTTTTAAATTCCCCAGCTTTTTGTTTTGCCCTCCTGATGACACCGATGACACAACATGGCAAGCCTGGTGTCGAGGCGATGACGATTCGATGGCATGGGCTGGGGGTGGTGGAGGAGGAAAGCCTTTTGTGTAAGCGCCCAATTTCCACCCACACTCATTCCGCCGCACCACAGCTCATCACGGTGGCTTTTGGAAGGCATTGAAGCTCCAAACGGCACCACGGCCAATGCCACTGCTGATCCAACCGATGCCACATCAGACCCACGATCGCCCAGTTCCTGTTAAGGTTGCTGCGATATGGCAATACGGTACAATAAGCTTACACACAATAACCTTACCGTCCCCGTTTTGAAAATCATCATGAAATGGAGATTATGGTCGCTGGTTTAAATTTGTCCTTTACATATTTCATTTGCCGACAAACAATAATGTATTTTTGAAGTAACGGTGGTTAAAGTTAACGACAAAAATTCGAATTATGACATTGCTATTATCTGGTAAATTGGCGCTTTGTAAAATTTCGGGGAGGGTAACTGATACCTCGATTCTAAAACGTCACCATTTTATGAAAGGTTGTGCATTATTTTTATTAGCGTCAGTAAATAAAAAACGCTTGCGTTGAGCGAAATGCGGTTGAATAACGACGAGGTCATCTTTAGTCACATGTGAAGAACATCGAAGGACAACAAGAATATAGAGTGTGAAATACAGTTAAAGGTACGGTAAACTGATATTGCAATAATCACCATACCGTGACATTTAGTAGCACATAATGAAAAATGATATGGCTGCAACCCGAGTTTCTTGACCACATCCTGTCGCAGTTGGCTACTCATACATTATTCCACCATTTGGCTTCAGATTTTCCCCATTGGTTGCCAAACTCTGGATTACCAGTGCAATGCTTGTCTTTGTAACGTGTCTCTTCTCAATGCCGTCTCCTCCTTTTGTTTGGATATGTATAGATATGTATTGAGTGGCAACTGCACGACCTTGTTTAAGTTGTAAATGCAGCCGATGGCTTCCAGGCTCAACGATGTTCTACTATTTGTTGTTGCTATGCACTGCAGTCATATTTCAACGATGCTATTACCTCTTCCATTGGTGGAAAAGGTAATTACAACTGCCGTGGCCAGATCAGATACGATTTACGGTGGCCCATTGCTTTCTCCATGCTGTGCATAGGACCTACCCATCACAACTAAATATTCTTGATTACATCGAAAACACTTTCTCACCATGATCCTTTACAAACATCCAAGATGCTTAACCTTTTTGTGCCATCAAATTCCTAACATCCTCTGCATGCACATTTAACCAACGACCGGACGTTTAACGCTAGTTGCTTTGCAATTGTATGTATTCGTACGTAATGAATCTTACAGCCCACGTATGCAAATGTGATTTTGTTGTCATGGAGTTTCATATCGAGAATGATAATATGCGTGGAGGTGTTGTTGCTGATGAATCGTGGTAAAGGATGGAGAATGTCATTGATTCATTTGGCGAGGGACAAACACGTAAAGAGACATGGAATTTGTGAGAGACAGTTACACGGTGGGATGCTTGGATACTTGATTTTAAGGATGGATGGGAGAGAGTTACATTAATGTATTAGCTCAGAAGGAAGATTTTGGAAGGAATGGAGTTGACATGTATGACTTAGGGTTTAATGAATGAGGCGGCAGACTTATGGATGGATGAATGTGTCGCTGACAGAGAATGGAAGAATGGATGCAAGAATGTGTTTGGGGATGTGTGTACTTAGAATGGGTGGCTTTTGTCACGACGGGTTCAGGACGGATGTATATTGATGGCTAAGATCAGTGGCAGGTGATATCTGAACTGACCCTGCCTGCTTTCGCACCACCACCACCACCACACCCTTCATTAGTATGGTTAAGTAGATTCAAGCAACCCCCATGGCTGACACGGCATGGAGGTGGCTTTAATCCAGCTGTGGATTTAAATATGCGTGGATAGATTGAAAAAGGGTGTTATGGAGGGTCGCCATGGTTTATGGACGGAATTGAATAAATATTGACATGTTAAAGGATGGTGGAGGGGTGGATGGTTGGATAAATGTACTTTTGGAATTATGATAATGGGTAAATGAAAAAGGTATTAGAAGGATGGAATTTTTTAAGGAGCGGAGGGTTGGATTGGTTTAGGGATTTAAAGAGAGATGGCTTTGCTTTTACGGATGGTGTGATAGACCCATAGACCACCTTCAATCAGACTATGGCTGTTTTTGTGCCCATAATAATAAGAGTGGCTTTAGGAATAGCCCAGCAATGATGGATCAGATTAATGAGAAATGTAGAGTTTGCTCATGCGTAGTGCTTGAGGGTTCGCTGAAAATGTGGAGATAGTTACAGAAAAGCCTGTGTTTAATGATAGAGGAATTGAATGATGTATGCATCGACCAACAAACGGCTGTCTGGGTTTTGTGTACATAGAGTGACTGTACTGGATATCTAGGTATAGACTACTTGAGGTATTGAAAGATTTCGTGACTGCAGGGATTGAAGTATTTATAATGATAGCAGAATTGGCTGTGTTATCGATTTTAGTGATTGTGTCATGACTTGGTGCATGGATAGAGTGATAAGAGGAAAGGGTGGATTTCGCAAAGAATGAAAGTACTTGATGAATGGATAAATGCCTGTTTTCATGGCTGTAGACAAATTGGTCAAAATATGTTGTGGTTACGAGGACTGGATTTAATGAGATAAGGAAGGTTGCATGATGTTTATGAGCCAGAGAGAATGGTAGAAGGGTTGATGATGGAGTTTATGGACTTGGTAATATGGTAGTGAGATAGCTGTTGAGTACACGTGCAGTGTGACAAGAGGGGATGGACCGATTCCAGTATGGATGTTGACAGTACAGTACTTGTGGGATTGGATGAATGCATTGGAACAACGAGATGTATGAGCGGGGGGTAGGATGGGCTAAGGTTTGGATTAATGATAAGAGGGGTGAACAGATATTATAAGGACGACGGATAAATGTACGGATTTTGGTCTAGATCCAAGTTATATTCATGGGATTTAATTAATGTAAAGGGATAGTCGGGTTTAAGGCGCGAAATAGGGAATAGGGGTAGTTGCAATGAGCGTTAGGAGGCATTTCGTGATAGTGGCATTGATTGTTTTCAATACAAACGTAGCGATGCAAATGGGTTCATCATTTCAGCAGTGAATTGGGGACGGACGGTTGAGAGACATTTACTCAAATGTGTCACCCGCCGAGTGGCTGGCTGTGTGAATGATATCTCGATTGACAGATATCGATAGGTACGGATGGAGTTAGTGCTCGAGGAAAGTATTCGATGAACGTTGGGACGTATGTGGTGGGTTTAAGGGTGAACGATCATGGCTGGCTTTGAGTATTCGGTGGCTCGCGCGAGGTGGAGGAGGATGATGATGATGATGCCCATGGACGGATGGATTTCCCATCGCATACCAAATACTCGAGTGCGAGAGGGAGCGAGGTGATGGACGATTTCACGTGAGCCACGAGAAGGAATGGAGGTGGAGGGGTGCGTGGGTTAGGGGTTGAAATCTCCGATGAGTGAACAGAGAGAGAGCCCAAGGCTCGTCCTGCCAGAGCCACGCACAGGCACGGGTTAAGGCTCCTAATGGCAGAGGCAAACAAAGGCACCCAGCGGCACACACTCCAACCCCCCCCCCCTCAAGCACAGCAGCACCCTCCCGTAGCGCCCACCATCACCACCATCACCACCACCATCACCACCACCATCACCGCCACTAAACCCCGTCTCCCTCTCTCTCGCCACCACCAACACCCCACGAAATACCGTGGGACCCGGGCCGGAGTCGAACCAGACACGCGGCCGCTCACCTGCTGAGTCGAGCTGCTACGCTGCAGTCGGTGAGGACGAGGAGATGGAGGAGATGGAGGAGGAAGGGACCCACCGAGATGGCTCGGGGAGGCGATGCGCCGCGCCGAGGCGAAAGGGCGACTCTCTAATGGACGTAACCGGGAGCCTCGTGCCTCCCTGTCCGCTCTGCCGATGTCTCCCTCGTGTGTGTGTGTGGGTCCGTGTGTGTGTGTGCGTCCGCCTGCCTATGACTCTTCACTGTGTGTGTGTCTCTCCCCCCGCCTTCCCTCGTGCTCGTGCGGACAGATTACGTCATCCCCTCCATGCCCCCACCCCATCCACCCACCACGGCGTGACGTCACGCCTTGCCGTGGTGACATGACGTCATACCGTCACGACCACCACGCCGTTGTGGGGGTGGGGGAGAGGGAGCTGCAGGGAGGGGCCCTGCCCAGTCAACATGCCAACGTTGACCCAACGTTGGTGTCAACGTTGACCCAACGTTGGTGCCAACGTTGACCCAACGTTGGTGCCAACGTTGACCCAACGTTGGTGCCAACGTTGACCCAACGTTGGTGCCAACGTTGACCCAACGTTGGTGCCAACGTTGACCCAACGTTGGTGCCAACGTTGACCCAACGTTGGTGCCAACGTTGACCCAACGTTGGTGCCAACGTTCCATGTTTGCACGTTTTAAATCGACACCGATAACTCATTTGTTTGTGTTTTAGTCCGAGTGGCATGTGTAGACCGGAGTTGCAAGTGTATTTTGTTCAACCAGGTGAGGAACACACGATGCCAGGATCGTCTTAAGGGGCCGTCCATAAATGACGTCACGTGATTTTGGACGATTTTTGACCCCCCCCCCCCCTTGTCACACGGCGTCACAAAAAGTCAGACCCCCCCCCCTCAAATATGACGTCACAAAGCTCTGCCCCCCCCCCCCCCCCAAAAAAAAAAACATGCTTCAAATCGCTTTAAACTATTGTCATTGTAGTGCGTATTTAATGTGGCGCTGAACTTTGATGTTGTAGGAGAAAACATTTAGTATAAAAGTATATTTAATGAAGTAGAACGTGTTGTCTATATTTATTTAAAGTTGCGCATTTTCATGTGACGTCAAATTTCTCAACCCCCCCCCCCCCATCGTCACACATCGTCACAAATGTCTGACCCCCCCCCCACCCCCCAGGTGCGTGACGTCATTTATGGACGGCTCCTAATTTGCAAGAGTGACCTGGGTCATCAATGTCACAAAAGCAAAACGAAGAAAGAGTACAGCTATGAAGCAATTATACTGGTTCTGGTAGGAACCTCCTGGTTACACCAGCCCACAGGGGATTATTTTGTCCGTCCGTCGTACATCCAAAAATGTGAGGGGTGGGGCTGGGTGGAGAGGGTGGGGCTGGTGGGGAGGGTGGGGCTGGGTGGGGAGGGGCTGGGTGGGGCTGGGTGGGGAGGGGCTGGGTGGGAAGGGTGGGGCTGGGTGGGGAGGGGCTGGTCACCCCGTGGTGCCCTTATAAAACTCAACGTTTAACCTACTCACGCCGGCTTGTGCCCGTCCTCACAGTCGGCCATATTTGCGGAATACACCACGCCGCCGTTGACCCTGGCCATTGATCGAGCAACCCAACGTTCCTACCAGCTCCCTCCGCAGGAATGTGTTAAAAGAAGAAAAACTCGTATTTTACCCAGGAAAGCCTCACTGGGTCTTAAGATTCTTATTCAGCAGGGTCCTGCCAGACTTTCGCAATCGGGTGCACCCAGTGACTTCACTTTGGTTGGTGTCACCCAGTGCGGTGACTCGTGGTGTCACCCCTCATGGACCTCCGCCCGTACCAGACTATACAGAATCCTTTAGTAATGTTTTTGTTGTACTAATGTTACTCGTAAATCGTAATTCCCGTATATCACTGAATGTAATGGCAATAGTAGTGACGTAAACAACTAGCAACATTAAAATTACACCTTTCAATTGCAATATTTCCATTAATTACTACTTCATTCTCAAAAAAGTTATTGATATAGGTTCACCAATACGAATTACCACAATATTGTAGCTAAAACACCAGAAAATTTGACAAAATCAGCGACGAAAATTCACGAGCAGCGACGAAAACAACAGCGCGCGCTTATAGCGCGTGGCAGACGAAAGCACGTGACTGGAATCGTCACTGTAGTTGGGTAACAATGACAGCTCTGACCGGAGCACATTAGAAGGTTCAAAAAGTAAATTAGCATAGAGTTTTAGCCTTGTAGGTAATTTGATACAGTCCATGTAAGCTGGGCTTACGAAAGAGGTTTTTGTTGTTATAACTAACTACAGGAATTTTTTTTAATTAAAAATAATACATTTCTGTTGAAACACTGCACAAAATTGTATAGACAGTCGTTTTGGTGTCACCCTCTCTGATGGTGTCACCCGGTGCGGTCCGCACCCCCCGCACCCCCCTAGTGACGCCACTGGGTGCAATAATTGCGATATATTTGAAATTAGTTTTTTTTTTTCAAATTTGCACCATGACATGAGCCCAGCACACAATGACCTACTCTAAAAAACGACGTCACGGTATCCTAAATGTCCACATGAGCGGACGGCGCGGACAGTATATTTACGGCTAATACATTGGCAGTAACTATCTGTATTCTTTATTTTACTGGGAAAGACCCGCTGAGCTATATAGTTATTTTTCAGAAGTGACCTGGCCACAAATGATAGCTCAACGAAGTGGCTTATGTGGAAAAGTATAACAGCCAAATACTCTGAATGTGGAAGGAAAAACCGGAGGCCCTGGAGAAAAATCCACGTGACCACGGGGAGAGAGACATTCAAACTCCATATATACAGCAGGCGTCGGGGTTGGGATCGAACCCACGACCTCCTGTATACCAGGCGAGGTAGTTAACATTGCCACCGTGACATTCCCCCCCCCCCCCCCCAATAACCTGGGCAGCCACTGGATTCGAACCGTGAACCTCTGCAGCAACAACCCTGGCTGCTTGTGGAGAGCTAGGGGATTGACTTGCATGCGTGTGCCTGGTGTTTGTGGATCTCATGAGCCAAATCACCTGGGATCCACCCGGACTTGTCAGAGCTCTGAAGCTAAGCAAGTTTAGCCTGGATATTGCTTGGGTGAGGGACCATGTATGGCAGAGGCTGATAGGGGCCACGTAGCCAGCGTTGTACTGAACTATGCCGCAAGGTCTGTGCTCTCGCCTTCACCAACTCACACTGGCCAGTGTGGTGAAGTATGGCCAGAAATAGGCCACAGCCCGCATGGCGTGGCATGGCCCTCATCCAGAAAAGCGTTGACAAAAGGGCTGTACTGTGCGTGTATATGTGTAATGTATTGCCTTCATAGGTGCTCGCTAACAACACTTGCCCCTACACTCTGTTCAGGCTATATGGGGGATCTTTGTATTGCTGCGCTACGAACCCTAGTTCAATTCCTGCTCACGGCCAACACCAGTGACGATTATCTGAACCGGTCCGGGGCCTCCCCTAGGTCGACTCAGCCTCAAATGAGTACCTGTTGCGGTGTGTAAAAAACATCTCCACTGGGGAGACAAAGGCGGTCGGGCGTGGTGTCGGCCACCCACCCCGTCGTTTGCCGTGCCGGCCTTCATCGGTGCTCAGGAACAGCACTTTCCCCAACAACCTTTCAAGGCTATGAGGGGCAACTTTGTCTTTGTATTGCTAAGCTTTGGAACCAATACTTTCAGCCTGGGCAGGTGCCCTCTGAGAAATGGTACTCGCCCCTTCATAATCAGCGTGAGCAATGCGATTTGGAGCCAAAAACACAGCGTGCAGAATGAGATGACTCAGTCTTTAAACCATTGCTGACTGTGAAAGACGTTCTCGTTGCATATTAGGGCAGTTCAACGATTTCAGGAGTAAATTCCAACGCATTCAAGATGTGTATAATAGTTATCAGCATAATAATTCATTATAATTTTTTACTGAGGCAGAGTACTGTATATTAACTATTTGGAACTAATTCAGATATCAATAAACTTCCCACATTTGATGAGAAAAATGGTGATTACATTTGTTGTAAACTAAGCTAAGAACTAAACAATTTTTATTTTAACAGGTAAAGCCTGGTAAGTTATTTTACCAGTTAAGGCCTGGTAACTTTCTGATCCGCCCCTATTGGAAACCTGTGAAAAAGAGCTTTATGGCTCATCGGATTCCTCCAGTATCAATCCAGATTCGGATTCTACAGATCGATCATTATGGTGATTGAAATTATGACGGAGGTTTGTCTATAATGTGGAACTGCCCACTAACAGCTATGAGAAGGATCAGAAATTCTCACTGAGTTTCCAGTAGGAAGGAGCAATAACCCAGCTTATTAAAATACCGTACAAGTTTGAATATTTTGAGTACCTACCTCATTCAAATAACGGATTCTGTCTCCTTAATTGTCACCATTGGTGCCGTGTTCTGTAATTAATTTGTTTTAAAGTTTTTATTTCGGTTACCAGTAGTTAATCCATTACAAATGTAATAGCCAGTGAATGACTGATGCATGGATGACTGATGTGGCATCACGTGATTACAGTACAGTATATATCAAAGTATCAAACATTAGAAGGCAAAGGATGCACAAGTTGTTCAATTTTCGCTCGACTTATTTCGTACGTGTAATTGCCAACAATATTTTGCAGTAAGCAGTCCTGGACCATTGTGTAGTCAATGCTGAACTGTGCAGCAAATCCGGAACATGGATTGCTCAGCCCATTTTAGTTGCAAGATAAGCGTCTTCCCTTTCCCCTGCTCGTGTGTGTCAACCACAGAGCAGTGGGAATGTGTTATGATATCAAAAGGAGACATTGTGGAAGAAAATCTAAAAAAAGAACAGGAAATGTAACAGAGGTTACAGGCAACTAGGAAGAAAAAGGGATGTGGGGGGGGGCAAATCGAATAACCTCAACGGAAATAATAATTGTACGCTATTTTATTAAAATGTAAAAAAAAAACACGTTTAATGAACGTGTACTGTTTTGCACTAGCTTGACTGTACTGTAATTACTACAAAAGATACCACTATTTTTTTTCTTATATGTTCATACTTTTTGATATGTGTATTCAGACAATCGTGACTTAAGCACATATCAATGGTGTTTTTGTTTTGTTTATAGCAGCACGATACATTATTATTGTTGTTCAAAAGTAACTGCAACAGTTTAAAATATCATGGCAGAAGCTTAGAACAATGCAAGGACCATATGGTAGGAAATTAATATGGTTAATTTGTATATAGCCTACAATCACAGTACTGTTGGCC